TTTTCTAAGTGTTCAATTCACAACATAAAATAAAAATCTTACCTGCTTTTTGTTGTGGTAACAAAAAGTGACCGTTTTTTATCCAACATTGGAGAATATTTGGGTACATTGGGATATTTTGTTCTATAACGTTTGTTTCTATCATTACACTTCAACTGTGAATGACTATTGACACAAGCATTAACATCATCGTAATAACTTGATCTAAATAAATATATATAAGATATAAACTAATATTCAATAAAAAATTGTATACGTACGAAATAGATGACATAGGAAAAGTAGAAGTAGAATATGGTAAAAAAGTCCTAGTCAAACTCTCAGTGTTTTTATGAGAAACTGGTAATTGACAAAAGCTTGGTTTAATGTCTAACATCTTGTAAAATTAAATCAATTGAAATTTTCGCGCTCGATGCACATTGCCTTTTCAGAATATCACAACATTTTTCAAAAAGCAGTTTTATTTCTAAAGAATATTTAATATAGTCAATTCTTAATCAATATTATCTACTACCAAAAAACAAACATTCGAAGGAAACAAAAAGTAAAAGAACAAAAACTATGAATAAAAGCGAACACAATGACCATACTTGGATCATTATAACTATCTTGCCGACAATCAGATGATGCACCACGTGGTACCATTTGTTGATTTTCTCGACCTGAACGCCATACAATTTTCTATTTGCAATAGAAATTAATAATAACAAAAACAAAATCGATACATAATTACTGACATAACACCAATCTTCTAGATGAGTTGCTATACGGACACCACGTGGAGTATTTAAACATCGTACACAACATGAAAAGTCTAAAAATCCGAAATCGATCAGGTACGAAATACGAAAGAAATTTATAATATTTTCATATACATGATCAAGTGTTCATAACATGAATGACAAACATGGTTCTCAATAGTTTTTGACGTCATTACCCCTATAACTTGGCAATTTCATGAGGAATTCGCCTTTGCGGCAAATTTAGAAAGAAAGAAACGTCTGCAAAAAAATACATCGAAGATATAATAGATAAAAGTGATATAGCGAGAAACTACTTTACCATCATACCAACACCATATTCCGATGTCACTTATTGCTATACCACTTCAATCTTTTATGTCTTCGACATGTTTTTGTTGACGTTTGGTACATACTGAATTTACCACAAAATAGAATTGCCCATGAACCCTCAAAACCTGTAATGGTCTGCTGGACTCAAAGATATTGACACAATCTTCTGCATCTTCACACCTTCAAAACTTTACTGGAAGAGAATTAGAACGCATCACATTAAATGAAAGAAAAAAACTCATTATGTTTCTTATTGTTTATTTAAAAGATGTAGTTGCAAGAGCTACTAATGTGAAATACAAACAATCGAAACTTTTTATTTGTTTTTCTTGCAAAACAATACCAAGTGCATGTTTCTTGTTGAACTCTGTAGAATGGACTTTCACAGAAATTTTCAGCGAGTCAATTATATAATGACGGTTTGTTGTTTTGAGTGACAAACTTGTCTTAATCTTGAATTAAGAGTTTATTTGACGATATCTATCAAGTGTGCAATTTTTAGAATGCTTGAAAGGAGTCCATGCTCAAATTTCAGACAAAAGAGCAAGATGATGTCTGTAGATTAAAGCTGCGCTTGAAACGTGGAACGATTCATTATCTTTTAATTGAAGCGAACACCAATGTACCATATACAGGTTCTTGATAAGGCTCTTTTCTTCAAAAGATTGAACTACTTCGTGGCAATGCAGAGTGCTTCTATTTGTATTACAGAAAACTCCTAAAAACTAATACCCTCACTCTCAATGAAACAACAATTTGCTGAATGCCTGATGTTGACCAAAGGAAAACAATGGTACTTTGCTCATAATTATTCTAGATATTTGTTGTTGTCTTCAACAAGCTAAATGAAGTACATTTTATGAATTTTGTTCAATGAAATTTACTTAAATAGACTTATAACGAATAATATGAGTTCATTAATTATATTTTATTTTGAAATTTATTTCAACAGTACTTGTAAATATATCGAACTGATCTGCAGCCCATTTTCAACATAGATGACAAGTAAAAGATGCAAAAAGTTTTTTCCGTATCATGTATAACTATTCTTTTCTTTATCATTACAGTGCAGAAGCAAACGTTTCTCCCACTTACATTGAATTGTTATAAACAAAAGAAAAAAAGAAAGAAAGTAATAGTTATAACATAATATAAAAAAAACTTCATATTTTTTTTCATTTGTATGGAAAATGGACTGAAGATCAGTCCGAAATATTTTCAAGTTTTGTTTTCGAAATAAATTCAAAAATACAAAAATGCTCAATTATGTTTTGCTTATAATTTATTTGCGTACGTAATTAAAAAAAACAGAAAACAAATAAAAAGTAAAAACAGAACTTGAGGATATGTAAAAATGAAAATAAAACAGGATCATCATATAAAAAAAGAACTCTAATCAGTTGCGGGAATGGAGCAGAGAATTGATAAATAGATCACGTTTGTTGATTTTATTTGTTTTTGATAGTACCATATGTCCTACAAAGAAAACAAAGCGGTTAGTGTAAAATCTGCAGAATTAAAATGGCATATTTCTTTATTCTCGTTTTAGTTCTACAGCGATACAATGAGGCATAAGCTCATACATTGTAACGAGACGTTTTGGATATACAGTCTGTGATCCTAGATCAACAACGTTTGACACGGTAGATAAAGAGCTTTGACCAACGTCTATTACGTTCTGTGGGAAGGAGGGCGTTGAAATTTTTACCCGTATCATTCAAAACTTATTTTATATCGTGTTTGACAAAAGTATTAAATTAGTTCGACATCGTAAAATAATGTAAATAATAATAAATTCCTGGAAGAAATATGAATGATTGAATACATTATCAAGACATTCTCTCGATGAATATGATCAATACTCTATATTGACACAACATACCTGGCTTAAACATCTTATTCAGGCACGCTTCTCACTTCAAAAAAACAATGATAGGCATCTACCTATTTAAATCTACTACACGATGAACGAATAATAAGAACAGATATTCAAATATTTTCCTTGATTTGAAGCAAGAATTCTCATTCAACTATATCATCGAGGAACACTAGATCTAAGAATAATTCACCAAACAACTATTCAAAATTTTTTTTCCGTTTTTAGCACAGATTTGCTTATGACTATGTCATTGAGAAAAGTGTAATGAAGGAATAATTCATATCAAACAACTATTCAAGTATTTTGTTCAATGCGAAGTAAAAATTTGCAGTTGATGACATTACCCAGAAACGCTCCATCAAGAAATAATTCACAATAAACGACTATTCAAATATTTTGTTCAGTAAAGAATAAAGCTTTGTAGTTAATCATATCGTCAAGGAACACTCCATCAAGGAATACTTCATAGGACACAACTATGCAAATATTTTGTTCAGTTAAGAATAAAGCTTTGTAGTTGATTATATCATCAAGAAACACTCCATCAAGGAATACATCATAGGACACAACTATTCAAATCTTTTATTCAAGTCAAAGCAATGATGTTTAGTCGATTATATCGGCCAGGAAAGCATGATCAA